TTGCTCTGTGATGGATGTATTGATTTTTCGCTGTATTATTAATGTGAGGTGATGTTTTCTTTAATGTCCTGCTTTTTCCTCTATTTTCTTTCTTTAAACCCACCACTTGCTATATAAATCAGTAAGAATATCCTTCCTGGGTAATTGACACCAGTCTCATATACGTAATAGCTACCTGTAGATTGCTAAGACAGAAAAGGTCATGGTCAAAGGTCAAAGTAGAGTTGGAAGGGACCCCAAGGGGCATCTAGTCCAACCCCCTGGATTGCAGGAACCTCAGCTAAAGCATCCCTGACAGATGGCCACACAACCTCTGCGTAAAAACCTCCAAGGAAGGAGCGTCCACCACTTCCCGAGGGAGACCATTCAACTGTCGAACAGCGCTGGCTCTAAGAAAGTTCCTCTTGATGCTTTGTCGGGATCTCCTTTCTTGAAACTTGAAGCCATGGGTTCGAGTCCTACCCTCCAGAGCAGGAAACCCTCCAACCAGCTCTGCTCAAAAGAATCACTGACCTCCTCCAGTGATCTTGATAAAGGTGACATTTGGTCTTCACAAGGGGTCTGCAAAATGCAGCACCCAGGTCTTTAGTCCAACAACTAATATATTATATATTATACTACTACAGTCGTACCTTGGAAGTCGAACACCTTGTGAGACGAACGTTTTGGCTTCCGAACGCCGCAAACCTGGAAGTGAGTGTTCCAGTTTGTGAAAGTTCTTTGGAACCCGAACGTCCGATGTGGGTTCCATGGCTTCTGATTGGCTGCAGGAGCTTCCTGCAGCCAATCAGAAGCCGCGCTTTGATTCCCAAATGTTATGAAAGTCGAACGGACTTCCGGAACGGATTTCGTTTGACTTCCAAAGTTGTTGTTGTTGTTTAGTCGTGTCTGACTCTTCGTGACCCCATGGACCAGAGCATGCCAGGCACTCCTGATTTCAACTTCTGAGGCATGACTGTATATATACTAATTATACTAATATATTAATTATGGCTTGGAAGTGAAAATCCCTCTCCCCGCCCCCGTACAAATAACTGGCAGGATGACACATTCAGATTAGTTCTGGGTGAAGAGGTAGTATTCTGTTAGGCACTATTTTCTCTCTTGAAGCATTGCAAATGTCCAGTATTCACTGTTATAGCCCAGCCAGGTTTGCATGCAGGAAGTCACAGCTTCACAGCCAGAAAAAACCTCTCTCATACCTTGGAGAGTGACTGCCAATCAGAAGACATGGGTTGGGCTGGGTGCACCAATGGTGGGAGCAGCTCCTTCTGCCCAAGACATCAACAGACTGAACGTTGGATCTGCAGGTTCCCAGCAGCCCCCCCACTCCAGCCAGCCTGGCCAATCGTCAGGGAGTTGCAGCCCATCAACATCCAGAGGTCCAAAGATGTCCCCCTACCTTTGCTTCAACACAACACAACACAACAGAGTAGGATGGTCTTAACTGCTCCTCCTGAAGCCTTGCAGAAAATCAGCATTGCCAGTTCCCCGGGGGGGCGGGGGGCTGGGCACCTTTGCTGGAGAAGCCCCAATCCCAAAGGCTTCCAAATGAGGAGGGAATGAATGAATGAATGAATGAATGAATGAATAAATAAATAAATAAAAAATTTATTTCTACCCAGCCACTCTGGGCAGCTCTCAACAGAATATTAAAAAGGTAAAGGGATCCCTGACCATTAGGTCCAGTCATGGATGATTCTGGGGCTGTGGCACTCATCTCGCTTTACTGGCCGAGGGAGCCGGCGTACAGCTTCCGGGTCATGTGGTCAGCATGACTAAGTCACTTCTAGCGAACCAGAGCAGCACACGGAAACGCCGTTTACCTTCCTGCCGGAGCAGTACCTATTTATCTACTTGCACTTTGACATGCTTTTGAACTGCTAGGTTGGCAGGAGCAGGGACTGAGCAATGGGAACTCACCCCATCATGAGGATTCAAACCGCCCACTTTCTGATCAGCAAGCCCTAGGCTCTGTGGTTTAATCCACAGCGCCACCGGCGTCCCTCAACAGAATATTAAAAACACAATAAATCTTCAAACATTAAAAACTTCCCTAAACAGAGCTGCCTTCAGATGTCTTCTAAAAGTCAGATGATTGTTTATTTCCTTGACATCTGATGGGAGGGCGTTCCACAGGGCGGGTGCCACTACTGAGAAGGCCCTCTGCCTGGTTCCCTGTAACCTCACTTCTCGCAGGGAGGGAACTGCCAGGAGGCCCTTGGAGTCTGATAACCTGAACAAAGTGCAGGCAGAAATCAACCTGCAGAGAGACACCTCCCTCAGGCACCCAGCTCTCTCTTGTTGTTGGCATCTGTCTCGAGAGGCAATGGAGTGAGCCTCTGGGGGTGAAGTCAAACCCTTTGCACTAGCAGCACCCATAGCAGGTCAAAGGCAGCACCTAAAACAGGGCTTGTGTTTCACGGTCCGGTTCACTGGCAATTGAAGTCCCAGCTGGGGACGTTGGGAATGGGGGCAAGATTGCGGGGTGGGAGCAGGAACGGGAGTCCAGAAGCCAGGAGTCGGAAAGCCAAGAGTCCGAGGGCCAGAGAGCCAGGAGTCAAGAAGCTAAGGGTCCGAGAGTCAGGAAGCAAGGAGTAACGAAGTCAGGGGTCCGAGGATCAAGAAGCAAGGAGTCACGAAGTCAGGGTCCGAGGATCAAGAAGCAAGGAGTCATGAAGTCAGGGTCCGAGGATCAAGAAGCAAGGAGTTACGAAGTCAGGGTCCGAGGATCAAGAAGCAAGGAGTCAAACGCAGCAAGGCAGGGAACGTGTTGCTGTGGCAAAGAGCCGAAGGGAAATGCTGACCTTATATCTCTTCCCAGCTCTTGCCACCAGGTGCTGTGAGTTACCAATCGGCCTCACCTGTGTGGCCACGCCTTGCCTCTTCAGAACAAACTTAGGAAGGCCCCAGTCCTGCAGAGTCCTATCAGTCGCAGGGTCTGGCTCCTGCACGCACACCTAACATTGTGGTTCTGAACTGGTGACCTACATAAGAAGAACCCACTGGATCAGGCCAATGGCCCATCTAGTCCAGCATCTTGTTCTCACAGCGGTCAACCAGAAGCCCATTATGGGAAACTGTCGAGCAGGATCCAAGCACAAGGGCCCTCTCCCCTCCTGCAATTTCCAGCAAGTGGTATTCAGAAGCATTGTTGCCACTGACCATGGAGGCAAAGCAGAGCCTTTGTGGCCTAGTCTCCTCTGCAAATTTGTCCAATCCTAGAATCATAGAATCGTAGAGTTGGAAGAGACCACAAGGGCCATCGAGTCCAACCCCCTGCCACGCAGGAAACACCATCAGAGCACTCCTGACATATGGTTGTCAAGCCTCTGCTTAAAGACCTCCAAAGAAGGAGACTCCACCACACTCCTTGGCAGCAAATCCCACTGTCGAACAGCTCTTACTGTCAGGAAGTTCTTCCTATTGTTTAGGTGGAATCTTCTTTCTTGTAGTTTGGATCCATTGCTCCGTGTCCGCTTCTCTGGAGCAGCAGAAAACAACCTTTCTCCCTCCTCTATGTGACATCCTTTTATATATTTGAACATGGCTATCATATCACCCCTTAACCTCCTCTTCTCCAGGCTAAACATGCCCAGGTCCCTTAGCCGTTCCTCATAAGGCATCGTTTCCAGGCCTTTGACCATTTTGGTTGCCCTCCTCTGGACACGTTCCAGTTTGTCAGTGTCCTTCTTGAACTGTGGTGCCCAGAACTGGACACAGTACTCCAGGTGAGGTCTGACCAGAGCAGAATACAGTGGCACTATTACTTCCCTTGATCTAGATGCTATACTCCTATTGATGCAGCCCAGAATTTTAAAATCCTCTTTTAAAACCACCCAAGTTGGTAGCCATCATTGCCTCCTGTGGCAGAGAGTTCCACGGATTTAACTATGTGCTACGTGAATCTTCTGATTCCATGACCTGCGGAAGATCAGGCGGGGGCTTCACCCCAACGCTTATCGATCAGCTTGGGCAGCGGGTCAGGAGAGATTGTTCCTGGGGTGTCCTCCCCCAGCCAAGGAGGCCTCTTTGAACCAATTAAGTTCACATCATTCAATGCTCCCTGACCTCTATGCCAGCTTTGCCCAGGGCAAAGGCACCCACTCTCCATGCTTCCAAACTCACCCTCGGGTGCCAAAGATCTGGGCCTGAGAGCACCTCGCAGTCGAGGAACCAGCCAAGGCGAGGCAGCAAATTGCAAAATTAAACAAACCGAGTGACTCATGTAGCCGTCCATTATTTATGCTGGTATTGAATAATTCATCGGGGAGCCTCGGTTTCCTAAGCGCAGCCGCCGCCAATTTTTCCACTCTGTCGCACAAGCTCAGGGCCCCGGCCACAAGGCTGCCACTGGGGCATCAACAGAGTCCCCTCTCTGCTTCTCCCTGCATGCGCACGGGAGCGGAAGTGACAGCAAAAGGGCACCTGCGCATTGCCAAACCGGGCTGGCCCGTGTGCACGAGTTCCCATGCGCCTGAGTGCGCCAGCGATGCAAAACAGCACGAGAGGGTGGCCAATTTTGTCGCACGGCGGCCGCGGCAGTCAGATTTGGACGGCCAATTGCCCGCGTCGGCAAGAGCGAGAAGGCAGAGTGTCACAATGAAAGCTGGCATCCAAGAACCCACTGAGCCGATCTGAAAATGATCCCAACTGCTCCTCATGCGTAAAGGGCACAACTTGCCATACAGCTGGCTTACAGTTTAACTCTGCGCTGTGTGAAGGAGGACTTCATTTCATCCGCCCTGAATCTTCTAACATTCAGCTTTGCCACTTGTCGACGAGTTCCAGTGCTATGAGAGGGAGGAAACTTTCCTCTATTCACTTTCTCCACGATGTGCATAATTCTACAGGCCTTTATCGTCCCCTCTTCCTAGCCTTTTCCCAAACACTGCCACCTTTCTTTCATAGAGGAGTTGTACCTGCAGCATGGAGATGAATACCACTGGCCTACATTGCAGGGTTGGTTTTCAGGACTGTGGAGGTAACACATGCAAAAGGGTGCCGAATACTTCAAACCAGTGGTTAGAGTGTCAGACTAAGACCCAGGAGGCCAGGGTTCAAATCCCGGCTCTGCCACAAAGCTCACTGTTTGACCTTGGGCCAGCCACTCTTATCTCTCAGCTTAGCCTACCTCACAGGGCTGTTGTGGAGATTAAATGAGGAGGGAAAGAACCATGTATGCCACCTTGGTCTCCTTGGAGAAAGATATGGAACACAAACGCAATAAAATTTATATATTTATATATGCTGTTTGCATGAGCTGTACAGGCGACTCTTGGGAGAGGAGCTGTCCTTGGTTCTGAAGATAGTATGTGACACCCCACCCACGCCTCTCTGCCCAGGCCATTTGCTTTGCACCTGCCCAAGGTGGGGCAGGAATTGGAGAAGCTTTGGGCAAGAGTCCATTCAGTAGATGCAAGCACCGGCTGGGCATGTAGAAGGTCTCAGGCTGACAGCATCTCCAAGACTCTCTCTCTGGGACCCACTGGACGGCTGGATGGTCTGATGCTTTGATTTGCTAGAAGGCCCGTTTAAATCAGCCCCTTACTCAGAACTATGAGGACTAGAAACTTATTTTATTTCTAGAGGGCCGAAGCTCAGTGGCAGAAGGTCCCAGGCTCAACTTGCAGCAGCATCTCCAGGTGTGACCCATGCTGTCTCAGGCCCTGGACAGCCACTGACTGCCGGTCAGTGTAGACATTACTGAGCTCGGTGGGCCAGTGACCTGTCTCGATATATACTGCAGCTTTCTAGGTTCCTTCCCAGGAGAGGAAGCTGGTTTTGGAGCCACCTGGCAGGTGGGCTTGATTGCTGTGTAGCTGAGATAGTCAACCTCACACACAAACACACACAGATGTTTCAGGTTATAATTGCCACCGGTGCTTTGATCAAAAAGGCAGGAAGCATAAACCAGGAAGGCAACTAGCAAAAAGGCCTTGACCCAGCACATCAAGGATTGTCCATTTTTGCAAATGTGGGGGGGGGGGAGCCCCAACCAGCCCCTATTTCAGGCCATGCAATGATCACCTTTTAACATAAGAATAGGCTTCTGGATCAGACCAGCAACCTATCTAATCCAGCATCCTGTTCCCACATTGGCCGACCAGCAGGGCTGGGCAATATATCGATACACCTCCCCAAACTGGTTTGAAGTCCATATTGTGATACCGGTTTCATAATTTTTGACCTGGCAACATATCATGAATCAGTGTGTGTGTTTGTGTGCTATCGCAATGGGGAGGGGGGGCCATGAAGCCAGCCAATGCTTTTCTTGATTCCTGCAGCCCCCGTCGGCTCAGCTCTCTCCGGCCTCATGCAGGGAGCAGCAAATCACAAAAGCAAGCGTTGGCATAAAAATAAAAAGTAGAGCCAGCCACTGTCTCTACACAGCTCCATCCTTATTTCAGACATCATAATACATCAGAATACAGCTGTTTAGCTGGTGATATATCACACTGTTGAAAACCAGATGTTGCCCAGCCCTACAAACCAGATGCCTGGGAGAAACCATCAAGTGCAACTCTCCCCTCCTGTGATTTCCAGCAACTGGTATTCAGAAGCATTTCTGACTCTGATTCTGGGGACAGGGAATAGCCATTGCGGCTTGCAGCCCTCAGTAGCCGTCCTCCCCCATGAATTGGCCTAATCCTCATTTTAAACCAGGGGTCAGCAAACGTTTTCAGCAGGGGGCCGGTCCACTGTCCCTCAGACCTTGGGGGCAGACAGCAGACTATATTTTGAAAGAAAAAAAAGAACAAAATAACCCAGAGATGCATTTTAAATAAAAGCACACATTCTACTCATTCTACATTCTACCCTTTACCTTTTATCCAGAACTGCACACAGCATTTTTCCGAGAGAGGTGTGGCATTACGATGCTGGCAGTTTTATTTTCAATTCCCTTCTTATAATGATCCCTCGCATGGATTTTGCCTTTTTCACTCTCCCTTCCCCAAGCTGAAAGGAGAGGAATGCCTGTGCAAGAAGACCCCCCCCCACAAGAGCACCCAGGCAGAAGCTCAGCCCCAGGGCATCATGCTTTGCAAAGGCAGGATTCTTATCCCAAGAGGCTCTTGCTCACAGCAGCCGGCCTCCGGGCATCAGAGCGGGGTCCCTGTCCTCTGCCCTCCCTCTCCTGTCTCCCATAACCCATCATGTGCCTCTCCAAGTGCTCAGCTCGCTTTCAGGCCACTGTGGATGCAGGATGGCTGTGGATGCGGGAGAGATGGCTCATGTGAAAGAGAACTGTGTCTTCCTCTGTGTGCGTGCATGTCCCTCCATGTCTGGGTTCGCTCTGCCTTGTGCCACGATTTTCAAGTCCCCTGTCTCCAACAACCCATCATGTGTCTCTCCTAGGGCTCAGCTCGCTTTCAGGCCACTGGTTGGAAGGCACAGAGGGGAGGCTCAATAGGTTTGGGGGCTCCAGAGCTCAGACAAAGGTCTGGGCAGAGGCATAGTGCTCCATTTCTAAATGGGGTTCAGACCTGCGTCAAATCCAGGCAATCTGAGCCAGGGGCCTGATTCTTTAGTTTGCAACACCTTGGGAGGAGGAATTTTACAGCAGCAAGGGGAAATGCATTCTGCACATGCACGGAAGCCCTGCCGTTCTTTACCAGGACATGTTGTAGGGACTGATCTCAGTGCCAGAATAAGGTTCACGAACAGGGGTTGGCTACATCTGTGTGTGTGTGTGCCTGAGGCCTGTTGGCAGTCAAACAGGAGGCAGTGCTTGGTCATAAGAGTCACAGGATTCTAGAGCTGGAACAGACCCCCAGGGGTCATCTAGTCCAACCCCCTGCAATGCAGGAATCTCAGCTGAAGCATCCATGGCAGAAGGCCATCCAACCTCTGCTTAAAAACCTCCAAGGAAGGAGAGTCCACACCCTCCCAAGGGAGGCCATTCGGAAGTTGAGCAGCTCTGACTGACAGAAAGTTCTTCCTGATGTTTAGCCGGAATCTCCTTTCTTGTAACTTGAAGCCATGGGTTCGAGTCCTACCCTCCAGAGCAGAAGAAAACAAGCATTTGCTCCATTCAGTTTTGTCTAACACTCTTTTAAAGATGGACAAGTTGGTGGCCATCACTGGATCCGGTGGGAAGGAGTTCTATAGTTTAACTACGTGCTGTGTGAAGAAGTCAAGAAGTTGCTCTCGGTGAGAGCAGTCTTGCAGCCTCGTAAGAATATACCAAGCTGCTTTGGAGCAATTCTGAGCCCTGGTCTTGCCATCTCAGTGTTGCTCCTTTTCCACAGTTCCAGGCAAGGGAGCCTTTCCCAGACGTACCTGGAAATGCCAGGGCTGGAACCAAGGGCTTTTTGAATACTAAAGACGAGTAATGGTCTTTCCTTTTAAAAATAAACCAAGATTCTAGTCCACATGTTTCTGAACAAAGAGCTGATTTAAAGAGGAACAGGGAAGCTGTGTTAAATGGGGTCACACGTCTGGCCCACCTAACACAGGGTTGTCTACTGTGATTGGCAGTAGGTTTCAGGCACAGGGGCCATTTCCAGCCCAGCCGGTGGAGGTGCTCCCAGGGATTGAGCCTACAGCCTTCTGCATGCAAAGCAGGTGTCCTGCCACCAAGTCACAGCGACACTTTCCTAAAACGCAGCTCAAGCACCTCAGTCAGATGTTCGAAAAACTCCAATGAAGGGAGTCTGAGAGAACCCCTTTCCACTGCAGAACAACTCAATATAAGGCAGTTTCCTAGCTGGGCATCAAACTATCCAGTTGGCCTAGGTGCCCTCTCTGCCTTTGAGGAACATGGGAGGCTGCCTTCGACTGAGGGTCCTCCTAGTTCAGTGTTGTCTGCACTGACTGGCAGCATCTCTCCAGGGTTTTGAGCACAGGGGACGTTCCCTGCCCTACCGGGAGATGCTTCTGGGGACTGATCCTGAGACGTTTCTCATGCAAAGCAGGTGCTTGACCACTGAGCTGCACTCTCACACAGAGGACTAATTTAGCCAGCTAGCCCTGGTGATCATCTAATGTTTATTGGATGGATTTTCCCCCTACATTGATTTTTGAATTCTGAATTTATTGTTATTCACGTTTTATACTGTATTTTATGCTGTTTTCTGTTGCATCAATTAAGTGTTTTGAATTTGTTGTTAGCTGCCCTAACATCTTTGTTGAAAGTTTGAAAAGTACATAACGATATGTGCACCAGACATGGTGAGACGCAAACAAAAAAAGAGAAAGAGAGAAACAGAACCTGTGCAGAAGGGGAAACAAAGGGCGGTGGGGGAAAACCCAAAACTGTGTATTTCACAAGGTTGTTATTGTACTTGACCTTGAATTACGGTATGTACCTTGCACATGGAACCTTCCCAAAGGAAACTATGAGTGGACTCTCTGTGCCCTTACCACAGCACAAAGACTGAAAAATAAAAATGCGGCTCCCTTCTATGATTGGAGAGAAGAGTTATACAAACTCGCAACATAGGAACAATTTCCATATAAATGCAGACTTGCCATGGACAAATTCAATGATACTTGGAATCCATTCTTACAAATACAGTGGTACCTCTGGTTGTGAACGGGATCCGTTCTGGAGGCCTGTTCACAACATGAAAAGAATGCAACCCGCAGCGGCGCGTCTGCGCACACGCAGGTTGCGATTCACCACTTCTGCGCATGAGCATGATGTCATTTTGCTTGTCTGCACATGCGCGAGCAGCGAAACCCAGAAGTAACCCTTTCCGGTACTTCCGGGTCGCCGCAGGACGCAACCTGAAAAAACATAACATGAAGCAAACATAACATGAGGTATAACTGTACTGTAATAGGTTAAGATCCGGTGAAGAAAAGGTAAAGGTAAAGGGACCCCTGACCATTAGGTCCAGTCGTGGCCGACTCTGGGGTTGTGGCGCTCATCTCACTTTATTGGCCAAGGGAGCCGGCGTACAGCTTCCGGGTCATGTGGTCAGCATGACTAAGCCGCTTCTGGCGAACCAAAGCAGCACACGGAAACGCCGTTTACCTTCCCGCCAGAGCGGTACCTATTTATCTACTTGCACTTTGACGTGCTTTCAAACTGCTATGTTGGCAGGAGCAGAAGTACGACTCTACAATTCTGT